AATGAAGCCACACAGAATACTAGGAAGTACATTTGCTAACCCCACTTCTAGACATTACTACCAGTAGTATTAGAAGTTATATTCTAGGCATTCCTCTTCACATAGTGATAAGGTGGGGATACAGTAACTGGACCAGAAGTACAGAAATGTTTTTCTAGAGGAGCCAGTTGTACAGAAGTATTAAATCTTTTTCTTCCATTCTATTCTCCTCATGCCTTTAAACTACAGCAAAACCTCTACTTATCCAGAGCCATACATCAACTCCTACAAACTGATCGGACCTATTTACTGCATTTACAACACCTAAGTGCACATAACCAGCACATGCCAATGCTATTTCTCACCTTCATTACATTGTTCTTTTGCCTAGAATGCCTGCCTACCCTTCTCCTCATCTAATTACGAGCCACACGTTCTTAGGGCAGCTACACATACATACATACACACACACACACACACACACACACACACACCTGCAAAGGAACAGAGCAGCTTCTGGAGTGTGATGGAAGTGTTCTATATACAAGTTTTTTATATTTTTAATTTTGACTGTGTTGGTAGATATTTGGTATGTATACTTGTTAAAAGTCGTTATTGTATGTAATTTACAATTCAATGAAATTGATGTAAGAAGCCAAGTCCATGCAAAAGTAACACAAAATAAACAGCAAAAAACTAAGGTTTACCTCAGAAGCAATAGTCAAGCTTACATTTAAGCTTTAAATTCTCAGCCTCAATCCCTAATATAAACATAGGGTCAGTTACTAGTTTCCTAACCTTCAAAAATTAACCTCTTGGTACAAAAGGTAATTCTGAAGAGGGGGAAAAAAAAAACACACCAGAAGGCTCCAGCCATGTTTCACTTTTTTTCTTCATTTCATCACCCTGCTATTAGTCACAAGTTAATAAATGATATTAAACTAATACCTGCAGTGACAGCTGAGAAAGATAAGAGGCAACAACTTTATTTAATGTGTCACAAACCTAAAATCTTCATAATGGCTATCAGGAAATAATTACTTTTAAATGCAATTTGGAAATATCACCAAAAGTTACTAAACTAATGGAATATAACTATATCTAATTAGTTTAAAAACCCACATACATGGAATTCCTCATTCCCTAATGACCACTCTAATTTAAATGAGATATACTGGATATTAAATTTTTTTTAGTAAACATTTTAAGTTACCATTTATGAGTCTTTAATTAAAAGGCTAGGCCCTCATTTGTAAATTATTTCATCAACATTATCTCATTTAATCTTAATAACCCTACCAGGAAGGTATTATTGTCCTCATTTTACAGATGACGAATATGAGGTTAAGCGAGATAAGATACTTGCTACACAAAAGCTTCCATTAGACTAAAATGACTGTTTTTGTCTATTCCAGATTTATAGCTGAAGATTATAGTACTTTTGTTATAGGATTATAATCTTATTACCTGACAAGTGATGCATTTTCTAAATAGTCACTTAAGCACTCTTACACAATCACACCCACACAGGCAAACTTGTAGTTCAAAATCAACAGATGATATACCAACGCTTAAATCCCACCACCTCAGTTTTATTAGTTTTATACGTATCAGTCAAATATTAAAGACATACCATATTTTCCTCTCAAAATTCACGTGGACTTTTCTAATTAGAGGACAGTTTATCTTCTTGCCTTTGAGAGCCACACATTGGATTAAAAACATTTAAGAAAAATTATGTTTGCTTTTAAATGTTGTGTTCTTATACCTCTGCAACCTGTAGAGTTTGAACTCTGTAAATGGAGATTTGGTGAAATCTCATACATTGTAAATAATCCAAAACCGGTATAATGTGCTTAAGAAATGAACCTGGAGTCAGACAGATTTCAGTTCTGATAATGCCTCTGCCACTAAATAGCGGCCAAGGGCTGGCAGGTAGCTAATACTAGAGTGATTATCAGGGGAAACTCAAAAGTTGTATCTATGGCCACATTTGCACCATAGACTTCATAAGTTTGTTTTTTAATGTGCAGACTCAAGTTATAAACAAAATATGGCCGAAACCGGTTTGGCTCAATGGATAGAGCATCGGCTTGGGGATTGAAAAGTCCCGGGTTCGATTCCAGTCAAGGGCATGTACCTTGGTTGCGGGCATATCCCCAGTAGGGGGTGTGCAAGAGGCAGCTGATCGATGACTCTCTCTCATGGATGTTTCTATCTCTCTCACTTCTTCTCTGTACAAAATCAATAAAATATATTTTAAAAAAAAGTTATAAACAAAAGATGTACCTGAAAAGTTGTGTGTGAGCTGTGAAGAGAGAAGTGCATACTTTTTTGCATACATACAATGTTCAGCAGCAATAGAGCGCCCTGGGATATCCCTCTTCTCCCCTTCACCCCCACCTCATCCTGAGGCAAAATGAACCCATGAGTTCCTGGCACCTAGGAGTTAGAACTCCTATTCCCAACAGAGACAGCATAATAAATGGTGGCAAGGGTTAGCACTGTCACACTGAAGGAAGAAAGAAAGAAAAGGAGAGGAAGGAGAGGGAGGGGAGGGGAGGGGAGGGGAGGGGAGGGGAGGGGAGGGGAGGGGAGGGGAGGGGAGGGGAGGGGAGGGGAGGGGAGGGGAGGGGAGGGGAGGGGAGGGGAGGGGAGGGGAGGAAAGAAAGAAAGAAGGAAGGAAGGAAGGAAGGAAGGAAGGAAGGAAGGAAGGAAGGAAGGAAGGAAGGAAGGAAAGAAAGAAAGAAAGAGGGAGAAAGAAAGAGCATCTGTAAGCTGATCTTGGAATCTACCTATCTATATACAAGGCTCCCACTTCTTTAGTTTCAATAAGCCAGCATACAACCCATTTTTACCATGGCAATTTGTGACAGCCTTCTCTTTACTCAGCAATCTAAAGATTATCTCCAGGTGAGTTTCAAAGACTAACATTCTAGTTTGAAAGATGTACATTATTTTAAAATTTATTCAAACTGTACTTAAGCTGTAAAAGCTGGAGTAGTTTTTACAGCTTAAGAACTCCCTCACTTGCCAAACGAGGAAGCTGAGGCTCAGAATCACACAGGCAGGTTGGCAGGCCTTGGAATACACTAGTGAAACCTCAGATCCAGGGTTCTTTCTGATTAAATACTACCAGAGACAAACAGTGTCCTAGTAACCAGGGCTGAGCGTTTCTCCTGCCACGGTTTCAAGGCACTTCTTTCTTCTTTTTTAACCCAAGTCCATGACCTGGTAAGGACACCACCAAAACTTCCCACGAAGAGCAATACGTATTTTGGTTTCACGTTAACACTGTCCAACATATCGCCCCCCAAACACCATTTTCTGTCTGCCACGGCCACTCACCATCTCAGGGGCCATACTACCCACCACACCCTTCTCTACTCTTATCTGCCCAGCCAGTTTCTCAATTACTGCCGGAGGGGTCTGTATAAAAACAAACTTGCTTGCTGTCTGGCCCAGCCTGAAGACTTCTATTCAGCAATGTAGTTGTGAATTCCTACTACATGTAAGGATCAGTGCTAACACCTGAGTAATTACTCCACCGCTCTGTTTTAAAGCCTCACCTCATCAAGGAAACCTTCCACAATAAATCTGGCTATCAAACTCCTTTAACTGAAACCATGGTGAGAAATACCCTACATGTGACCCCATACACAGTACCTCAAATAATAACTCAAAAGTTTGACATTCTTCACTATGCATGAATAAATCAATATTCTTCATAGTATTCCATTTTTATAAAAGTCCTGGAGAAAAAAGAATTCCAAAGGGTAGAATAAATAGATAATAAAATACACACAATACACAAATGAAAGTATAAAATTCCAGATGTTGTAAAGAAACAATTAACTTTTGATTAAAATTGAAGAATCATCACCAAACATATACTGTACCCCTTTTGTGACAAGAAAAAAAACAACACACACACAACATAGAAATGTGAATTACTGGTTATTATACTTTTCTAACTTAAAACAGCAAGAAGAGTTATGTTCCAATCTTAGAAACACGACAACTAACTCTTTCCGGGAGAGAGTGTGTATTGGCACACTTAAGCCAAGAGTGATAGCAAAGTAGAAGGTGAGTCACTTACACCTGACCACGCAAAAAAGGCCAATGATAGAAATACAGAAAATATAAGTGGGTTCTTCATGAAGTCACTTAATTATCTTAACTGTATATACCTGTGATTTTTTTAAAACGGGAGGAGAGCACAAAATGTTTTGGCAGAAAAGAGTAACTCTCACCGGAAGCAATGCTTTCCAGATCTTTCCAATTAAACACAGGTTCAACATATTGAGAACCCAGAGACATTTTCACCTCCAGGCAGAACGTACACTGTGGTAAAGTTTAAGATTCTGGATTTAGGCCACAGAAAGGTATTAACATATCCCAATTCTGTGTGTGTGTGTGTGGAGGGGGGGGGGGAGGCGGAGGGAGAGGAAAGGAGAAAGGAAAGGGGGGACTGATGAGGAGTCAGAGGTTTAAAAGATAACCAATGAGGGGGTTCGGGGCAGAAGGAACATCCTTTAGACCCGATTCCTAGTAACGACGGGCCTTCCTTCCTGGGATAACTCCCCTTTCACGTTAATAGCGAAAGTGCATCTTGAGAGGAGCTCGCGAAAGGCGGCCGGCAGAGAAGTATCAGACTGTAAACTCCCCGAAGCACCAAGTATTGTAAATATCACGCTTTTCCACGGTGGAACCCGCCCAGTGCCCAGTCCGCATTTGCTTCGAGGAGGAGGAGGAAACCCGCGTGAATGAATGAATGAATGAATGGGTGAGAACAGTCCTGCCGGAAGGCTCAGAGCAGGGCCCCCGCCCCAGACCATCCTGGACGCCCGGTAAGAGAGGGCGGGGGCGGCGCCCGGGGCAGGGAGGCGCCCGGGACCCTGGGGCGCAGACAGCCGTGGGGTCCCGGGGCCGGGGTCGCAGGTGGGGCCTCGCGGAACAAAGGCGGCGCAGGGGGACCTGACGGGGCGGTCCAGGGGGACCGGGGGGCCGCGGGCGCTCACCTCATCGCCCCACTTGAGCACGTCCCGGTGCCGGTCCTTGACGGCGTGGTAGATGTGCAGAAACTGGAGGATCCCGTGCCGCCGCACGTGGTCGGCGTGGCGCTTGGTCTCCTCCCAGCTCATGGGCGAGCCTTGGGACAGCAGCCCCATGGCCGCCCCCTTCTCCTCCTCCTCCTCCTCCTCTCGGGAGCCGGCGCCGAGTGCGAGCCGGACACTCAGCCGCCGGCAGGAGGCAGGGGCGGCTCCGCCCCGGAGGGGCGCCCTCGGGCCGCAGCCGGCTGAGGGAGGGTCCGGTCCGGTCCGGCTCCCCCACACGCGGTCCTCACCGGCCCGTGACCGGCCCCGAGATCCGGCGCACCTCGCGGGGTGACAGAGGACGTGCGGGCAGGCTGGGCGGCTCTGGGCCCGGCAGCCTCGCCCCTCGCCCGCTCCCGCTCCGAGGCGGCGGGGCCGCGGCGGCTCCCGCTTCCCTTTGCCCCGAGCCCTGCGCTGGCTCCTTCCTACTTGTGACCAAAACCTGCGCCGCCGCGGAGCATGCCCAGTGCTCCCCTCTGCGCGCCCGCCCTTCCTGGGCGCGATCCGTCGCTCCGGATCTTATAAACTACGGAACGGGGCGTGGCCGGAGGACGGGGCGGGTCCGAGGAGGGGCGGGTCCTAGCGCCGGAAGCGACCAAAGCGGGCAGCGGGGGAGGGGGGCGTGCGCAGGCGTGGTTAGGGCGGAGTCAGAGGGAACGCGCTCACCGGGGCCGGGGAGTGTGTGGTCGGCCTGGATGTCAGCAAAAGCGAAATGTAGAAGTCAGTTTTCTCTTACCCAAACATACCGACTCCGGTTTGGGGAAGAAAGTTGAGTGTTTGAATTAATGAAGGACCCACCAGATTATTTTTTTTAGGTGAGAGAGGGGCTTCCCCCTTGTAAAAGCAGAGTGAGAACAGCAGGGAATGGCAAGAAAAATAGTAACTTGGGAGGCAGATGAAACACATGTTCCATTCTAGTGTCCGCTGTTTACTACCTGTGAGACCTTGCGCAAGTTATTTTCACGCCTGTACAAAATTATCTTAACTCTGTCTTTTTTGCCTGTTTGTAAGAATGTGCACAATGCACAGGTGCATGGAGTTAATGGTCAATAAATGTCTGGTTATTAAGAAGAATCAATTTGTCTACAATAGACACCTGTGTATATTACAAGTGTGTGTGTGTGTATTCTCTGATTATTTGATGACATACTTTCTTTGGATGACACAGACACCATTTATTGTAACAAAAGGGACTTTGTTCAATAGCCCTAGATGGGTCATTTGAAGGAATCACCTCCAAAAATATATACCGGGTCCTAGCCTAAGAGTCATCCAGTAAGTGATTACAATAATGTTCCTGTGAGTTTACCCCTAGGGGTAGAAGATATAAGAAACAGCTGGGGTTGGCCTGTCAAGAAAGGGAAGCTATGAGTCACCTTGCCACAAAGTAGTTGTTCAATAAATGTGTTGACAGAGCAATGGCATGACATGTCAGGGGGGAAAGTGACAGCAACTAGATCATACATGTACTGAGGCCAGAATGTGTGTACTTACGGTGCCCAGTTCCCTCACACTACAAAGTTAACATTTAGTAAGCACTTGTTAGCTGCTAAGTGGATATACGATAGGAGTCTCTTCTCTCATATCCTTCATGTTGGATGTGCCTTGGGGACATGGATACCCAAGGACTGGCTGTAATTTTCAAGTAGGTTATGTGTATGTAGGTGGAGTGGAGTGTGGCAGTGATTGAAGCTCAGGGGATGAAATTTCAATCCCAGAAGTATAGCCGGGATAAAAACCAAGTCTTGTTCTAATTTACCCCCAGCTGACTCAAACATCCCCACCTACTGCACACTCTTCCCTGTGTTACGCCCAGACTTCAGATCCCCAAGGACCACCAGGGAGCCAAGTCCAATACAATAAACAAAAGAGCCTTCACCATGGTAGCATGTGCTCCTCCCACCCACACCGGCAGCATGGCTGAAGAGAGCGGATTTCTCCCAGTCCAGGGGTTTTGAGGGCTAGGGATAACTCCGCCCTATGGGGCGGAGTTGGGAGCTCATCCTCGCCCTGCCCTGCCCTCTCACCTGTACCCTCCCCACCAATCTCTCCAGACCTGTGTAGTCCTGGCTTTCCGTTGTGTCTTTCATCTTGGAATTCTCCACCTAACACATTCCAGTTCTTGGAGTTGCAGTTACTCCTGCCTGTATTTTGGTCATATTTGAACAGGCCTCGATTTCTGCATTATAATAGAATCGTTTTAAAAATATCTCCACATTAGATAGTGATTTCCTCTGGGATAGATATCATTTATGCCTTTGTATCTTTAATTCTAGAAAAGTGCTTTGCCTAAATGTTTGCTTCCTGTGGAAGGCAGATACGTGTGGGGGCTAGGGTGGGAGACAGGGTTGGCCATTGTTTTGAATACAGGTGAGGAGGCATCCAAAGGGTCCTTTTGTTTTTCTCACAATCTCACCGCATATTTGCATAGATCTGCATTGTTCAACACAATAGCGGTCCACCATCTGTGACTACAGTGTTTGAAATATGGCTAATTTGACTGAGAAACTGAATTTCAGTTTTATTTAAGCCCACTTAAATGTAAATGTCAAAATGGATATTTCATGTGGTTGCTGGAAAACTTTTAAGGGAACCTGCAAGAGGTTGGGAATGTAAATCCACTTTTCCATCTGTTCATTTTATGAAACACAGATCAAGAATTTCCAGTGAAAAGTTAGTGGCCTGGGAGGTGTGATATGGGTAGAATACACACACCCAATTAAAAAACTTAGTACCCCAAAATGCAAATACCTCAATAACTTCATATTGACTATATTGCTATAGGAGTATTTTGGATATGTCAAGATAAAATAATTTAAATTAATTCACTTGTTTCTTTTTAGTGTTTAAAGGTACCTAATGGAAATTTTTAGATTACATTTGTGGCTTGCATTCCACTTAATTAAGGCAGTACAAGTGTAGACTTTTACACTTTGCAAAGCACCCACTTTCCTCTACACCTGTTTCATTTCCTCACAATATGGTGAAGCTGGTCTCTTGGGAAAGCGTCAGTTTCGTTTTAAAAAGGAAACGGTGAAGGGGGTGTGTGGTCAGGAGGCGCCATGGTTTAGTCTAGCTAGTGCTCATGATACTGAATGTAGTGAGAGTCAATACTATCATTTGAGTCAGTTTTAGATTCCGGTTGATTCTCACAGGAGGGCCCCCAAACTCCAAACTAGCACCCCAAGAGGGAGCTTCTGGGCTCTGGACAATCCCCAGTTGGGTGCAGCGTGGCGGCACCACCAGGCAGTTAGGTACAAGCCATGGTCTCTGCAGTGCCTTTGCCAACTACTGTTACTAGGGGTAAGGAAACCCAACACCGATCAACGAAGTCACATTCCACAACAGTCATTCCCCTGTGTTGGACAGCGTTTTGCATTTTTAGGTTTACTCCTGGAACTCATTCTGCAGATTGCAACCAGGACTAGGGAGTGGGTCTCAGCAGGCAGCCCCCGCAAGCAAGCAAGTTTGACATGCTGCGAGTTTGACACGCTTAGGGCTTCAACGAGCCTTAAGGAGACAAGAAGGAGCTCATATGTTGCAGAATCAGCTCTTCCCCAGGCTTTTCCCAAAGGAGATTCCTGGTGATTTCTTGGGGAGGGTGGGGGACAAACTGGGGTTGGTGCCGGGTTACAAGATTCCTAAGGCCGGAACCGAGCTCAGAGAGCGGCGGTTCGGACAGCGCATCCCGGGCTCCCCGCACCCAGGACGGCCGCCGGGAAAACCCGGACGGTGGAGCCGGGCGCCGGGGCCTCCCGCAGCCGCGCGGCCGAGCTGAGCATGCTCGGTCGCGGGAGGAAGCGCGGGCGCTGCACGCCGCGGGGTTGTTGTGATACCGCCCCGGCCACGTGACGGCCCGGGCCCGCCTCCCGGCGCGGGGCGCCGCCCCCGCGTGACTCAGCACTTTGTGCGGGCTCCGTGCTAGAGGTCAATCCAGGCAAGGCTGCTTCGGGGGCAAAGTCTGGGTTGGCCAACCCTGACCCCCTGGCTCCTTCTGCTGCTGCAGCAGCCATTTCTGACTCGTCGGTTATTCGGGACTCCGGGCCAGGAGGGGGGAAAAAAATGGTTATTTCCCAGTAGTCACGCAGTTCCCGTTACCCTGAGTCAGCGGTTCGCGCAGCGCTGGGAGCTGGCAGAGCAGAGACTAAATGAGGCTAGCAGCGGTGTGTGCCTAGGGGTCCATCTGAAAGAAGAACTTGTCACCGCCCCAGACCATGCTGCTCTCTTTGGCCTGCGCATACTCTGGTCTCTCCGGTGGGCTCAGTAACTCGCTCTTTATGGGACACCTGCTTTATGCCAAGCACTGTGATCTGGAGTCCAAAGAACAGTCCTCGTTGCCGCGTTTTATATACATCAGGCAACTGGGATCCAGTACAGTAGTCCCCTTGCATCCTCACTTATGTGAGAGATACATTCCAAGTCCCTATCCCCACTCTGAGTATGCCTAAAGGCACAGGTAGTACAGAACCCTATATATGGTGTTTTTTCCGTGCATACATACTTAAAGTTTACTCTTGTGCTTTGGGGCCATTATTAAGTTAAATAAAGTTTACTTGAAACGTAAGTACTCGAGATAGTTGAACTATGACTGAAATGGCTACTGAATGACTAGGGCAGGGCAGGAATACAGGGTGAAGACTCCAGACAAGGGGATTCACATCTGGAGGGGGCGGTGGGAGGGTTCATCATGCTACCCTGAAGGGCACACACATTTTAAATATGATTTTTTTTCCCCCCTGCAGTTTTCCATTTAATATTTTCAGGCTGCGTTTGGCACTGGTAACTGAAACTTTAAGAAAGGAAAATCAAAACCCTGGATAAGGGCGTAGTACTACTGTAATTGTAAATAACGGGTAGTGGCTACACGGGGATTTGAATAACTGTGATTTCAGAGCCTTTGCCATTTCTGCTACACCTCACAGCCTCATGAAGCAGAGGGCCTCTTTCCAGGACTCTTCCTGAATACTGATACCAGCTCCACACAGCTCCCCTTCTCTGATACACCTGTTCCCCAAAAGACCTCTGATATGCCAGTGAAGCACTTAAGGCTTCCTTTTTATTTGAATCAGTTGGTAGGAACAAGTGCAGTTACTTCTTAACTTCAGTGTACATGGTACAAAATGCAGAAGACGTAGAGAGGATTTTTCCCTGCATTATATTGTACTTGAAACTTGATTTGCTTATACTGAACAAGGCCCCAGGACTGTATGATAGAAGAGCAGTAGCCAAAAGACACTGGGGTCTTCATCTTAGCTCGGAGGGTAACCTGCTGGGTCAATTTAAGCCAAGTTGTGTTTATCCTCAGGAACCCCACCCTCTTCATTCTTCAAATGAGAGTCTATAAAGAAACGATTACTCCCTCCCAACCTAAATATTCTCTGGTTTCAGTACTACTAAATTAGCAAATCTTTTTGTATTGTATAGTATTCCATATGCTTCTGAGATGCACCATTGTCTTTTTAAGTAAAAACAAACAGCCCTACCTGGATTGGCTCTGAGGAACAA